ATTCATGCAATTAACCCATGCTTCATTGACGTTAAGTTATTGGGAAAAAAAAAGTTACTGGAAAAGTCAAACTCTAGACACCGCAACTCCAAAAATTGTGTACATCATAATAGCATATTTGGTAGGTCTTGTTCAATTTTTTTACTAAACATATATACTTAATATAAAAAGCTATTAAGGAAAAATATAAGCTCAATTTATATATATGGTAAAAACAAAATTGAAAAGTTTTATTTTTGTATTTAGGTCGAAATTTTGTTGAACTGTTCCACTTACAAGTGCTAAATGACGACTTGACCGGGATGGATGTCTCCTCCTAGTCAATGTCTAATTGTTACTATTTTCGGTTGCCAATTCTAATTCCAAACTCGTACGATCACCTAGATAGTAGTGCAGATAAATTGGACATGTACAAATTAAAGTCTTAAAGATATAATAAAAGCCACATGACTAACAAAATGTACTCTTCTTCCAACACCATTTAAATCAAGAAGGATGGTAGGGGGGAAAAACTGTAGTGCTACTATAAGAACCAAGTGTGGCTAAAGGCAAGATTGGAGAATAATCAAAATTAACTATGAAAAAGGAAGAAGACATGGCGAGAGAGAAGCAAGAGATAACAACTATGAAACCGCTTAGCCCAGTGTCCCAACTATTCGTTTCGCCGAGTTTTTACTGCATCATTGTCTTTACTTTAGGGTTTAAAACTAAATGCAAACCCCTCCACCATTGTTGAAGGTATCAAGAACACATGGCTCAAGCTTCCTCGCTTCTGTAGTAAAGTGGTAAACATATAACATTTTACATGCCTTGATTGTTTTATTTTTCCTTAGTCACTAAAAGCAAACAATGTATTTTACAATATCTAATCACTTCCATGTGATCTTAAACATATATTTCGCTTTCCTAGGAGATTTCATTATATAACATAAGTAATGTTGACTCAACCGTTTGGAGGGGTGTACGTACAAAATCAAATATCAAACACATTGTTTCAATGCTACTACTAGAGATCGAATCCTAGGTTTTAGATTTCGGGAGGATTTATGTACATTAGTAAGGTTGGTTCCGGGTATAGGAAAATTATGTGTCGGAACTTCCAGGATGTATAAAAAGCCTCATTTGTAATTAATATAACATTTATTTGGGCTCACGCATTCTCAAAAGTTTCATGATATCATTCTCTCTC